AGGCTGCAACATACCAACCGAACGCCCACCGCTCCCGCCCGCCCACAAATGGACGACCGTACCTGATGCTCGTATTGCTTCATTTGCGAAGTAAAATATGAAGCGAAGGGACTGATATGAAGCGGCCGCGATGCTGCATGGATACATGACCACATAAGTGCAGCCGCACCTACCGTAGCGGTCATTCGCAAGCTACCTACGGGAAACTCGTCCAAAGTCGACCAAAATTGCCTTTTAGTCATTAAGAACGGAGGCTTTTTTCGCAGGTTTTTGACCGTTTCACTTCGTTTTTTCGCCATTTTCCCACTACATAGCACGCTAGCATTTACGACCGAGTACCGAATTTTCGTGCCATCTGCCTTTATAGTGAATATGTTTGCCAACTTACAGTATGCCAAATGTTTGGAAGGTCGTTTTGAAGACTGGGACGAAACGTTCACAATAGCTCCACGAATAGAACGTCGGATCATTTCGTTCGCCACAATTTTAGAGAGCAGAATTGGAGCCTTCAGATTGATGTCAATGTGCCTAAGTAGAACGGATTTAATATTTCATAAGAATAATACCCAGTAAAATCATACCTAATCAAGGAATCCTCTTTGAGGCTCAAGCATGTCTCAAAGACCGATATTCCCGCGTTATTCACTAGGAAATCGAATGGTTGATAAGGTTGCAGGATGGATGACAGTTGTGGTTCGGATAATGTGATATCAGCGACAACACCAGCAATGTGACTGTGCTGTAATTATAGAGGTTAATGTCCGTTGGCGGAGGTGGTGTAGGGTAAAGTGGCGCGCTTACCACTCGCTTACCACTCCTGGGTTCAAATCCCGGTTGACTCCCGCCCAGGCCAACCAAGCCTTCTACCCTCCGGGACGGTAAATTGGTGAACGATTCGTATGGGAGGATAACCTTTGAATGCGATATAACGATGTCTCCATTTTGCTACGTCAGTTTTCAGTACATCTCTATTTTTGTTAACGTCAGTTTTCAGTTACATTGGGTGCGATCGCGCAACATGGAGATGCAGCAGCAGATGCAGACGTCTTAGTAGACAACCAGGACGTGAAAACGCCTTCTAAAAAAGGGGTGCTGCTGGGGTTGTAGACTTTGACCAAAGGGCTTAAAGTGGCGGAGGAAGTTCGTTCGCCCCCCAAAAGTAACCAATTATGGCATATGTGGCGTTCTAGGAAATTGAATGATGGAGCAAACATCAAATAGCATTTCCAAGCTTAGCTGCTATAACCTTGAAAGTAGGTCCGTGAATGCATGAGTGCCAACTGAATGCCTTTCTTGACCAGAGTGATAGCAATCGACGTTGAAATGAGTTACCTCTTCACATAATTGCTCCAGTTGCGCTCCATTTCTATCCAGCGCCACAACAGCAGCACCTGCATGTGCAAGTGCTATCGCAAGACATTGGCCGATGCCTTAAAAAGCTCTTCGTAATGCTGTCTCTCACGTAGACACTTAAAAAGCACATGCATGAGAGGTGGTATGATCTTGCAGTTTCAGATGGCTCGTTCCTGCCTTTGTTAAATTTGAGGCATATTGAGTTGACCTTTGAATACGGGGGACATCCTTGTAACCCCTCCTACCCCACCATGAGGCTAACGGAAACTTGAAGGTTAAGTACTAGGTTGCCAAGAAAGTAACACCAGTACCTACGTATCCCCATTTAGAGGCAAGCTGTAAATCCCATGATCCATGAAGGACAGAAAAGTAGCTGCATGCATGCTGAAGGGCTCAGAGAAACTGTAGACAGCGGCAGAGGCTATATATCCTTTCGAAAAAGCGAGTAGATTCCCAGCGAAAGTCCTTTCTGTGGAGACGGAAACCCAGGTAGTCTTAGCACAGTTTCAGCGCTGACGAGCAAACGTTCCCGTGATTTGAAGCAGAGCCGGCTATTTCTGATTTGACGTCAGGCTGCATTCATACTGGTATGTGCAACGTCCACCGACGATAACCAGCATCACAGCAACCAGCAGCCTTTCGAGCGTCCGCGCAGTGCGCTTAGGCAAAGTATAGGTGCTCGATCCAGCAAGCCGACAGCTGTTGATCTACCAGCATGAACAGGTGACATCATTTCCTGAAAAAATGCGACCCCTAATTCTAGGGGGGGGGGGGACTTGATATGACCCCTCATCCCCCCTGCATGCTACCACCATTTCTTAGATTTTTTTCCCAAATTCCTTCCATTTTTCATTTTTTCTCGAAAACTTCCTGTCGTTTTCAGCTAAGATTCATAGCGATGGTTGGTTGGCGCGGTGATATACCCAATGTGAAACAGGGAAATCTCTCAGATTTTCCCTAACCTCCTACCAGTTTCTTCCCAAAGCTTTACTGTTGAGCCCGGCGGGGAGGAGGAGGTCAGGATCAGGATTTCACTATTTTCAACTGTCGGGAATAGTACTTGCATAGATTTTTGGCAGTCACTCTCTCAACAACGGGCCAAAGACGCACCCCTCCCCTTCCCCTCTATAGCGTCGCTGAAACAACGAAGAAAACAACTTACCAAAAAACATTATTTCTCAGGGCGACCAACTACTACCTTCCGCCTACCTCGCGCTCAGAATACGACCTCCCCGTTTGTAATCATTGCACAGCGATGGCGTGCCCTGCCTTAACAGAACCACCAGCTTTACGGTGTTGCTGTAGTAGTGCGCGTGGCGGTTGCCACACGGCCACAATTCACGAACGTCCTAATCAGTCATATACTTTCCCATACTCTTGATCAGCAGTCTGCTGCCCATCCTATCTTTTTCCCATACAACTCTACTCCTAGTGCCTGGCGACGCTGGTAGACGCTAGATCCGATATCATGCTTCCTAGCCTTTGTCGAGACGCTTGCCCACAAGGTTCGAAACGGACAGTCCTTAAGCCATTGGGAGACTATCTCTTTCTCGCCGTTTGTCACGCTTAGCTATACTCTCAAGCTGCCAAGATGAGACTTCGTTCAGCAGAGTACTACTGGAGAAAGAGCCTACAAATGCCCTTTCATGGGTGACGGAGCACGAATGATCTGCTGTGCCGCGTCCCAGATATGTCCAGTGTTCATGGTTCGGACCGCCTTCGTTCACTGGTCGTAATTTATACACATTTCCGATTACGAAAACGTATAATCTCAACACTGGAACGCAAGGAAACGCCCAAGAAGTCAGGCAGAATGGGTCATCCCCGGTGACACGTAGACCGTAGCAAAGGATTAGCAGCTGCGGACATACCTTGACCAGCTCCTGTGACGAGAGCTCGTTTGCCTTGGAAGTCGAACGATACACTCATCTTCGGAACAGCAAATGATGGTGCATTCTGCAGTGAACTGCTTATGAAAGCTATTTAATGGCAGTGACTTCTTATCTCTGAACCACGTCTAACATGATAAAGCGTTTGAAAAAACTTCATTACAGAAGCTCCTTAACCTTTGGGCAAATTGTCGCAACACGAAGCAGTAGCAAACAGACGATCACATCCTGTCTATTAGTGGGGCTGCTATAACACCACTACTATAGCGATAAAAACTTGCCCCGGGGAGAGGGGTTGTAGTTTAATAGTGTTGTATTGAGTACAAAATTAATGTGTAATGTATTAGGTTGATGCATATGTTTTTAACCCCGACTTTTTTGTAAATATCTCAAAAGCGAACCAGCCTGAAGATTAGAGGTATGCACCATCACCATCACTACTCGACGCCAGCGCTCAGGCAGCTTGTCGATTCCATCCTTCCAGAACGACGGAGGCTGGGACTTGAAGAAGTCGTCGAGTGCCTTTCTGACCTGATCCTTTGTTTCGAACTTTTTTCCGTCCAGATAGCGCTGCAGGTGGCTGAACAGCCAGTAGTCAGAAGGAGCGAGGTCAGGGCTGTAGGGAGGGTGGGCGACCATCAGCCATCCGTACTTCTCCAGCTCGGCCTGGGTCGCCTTTGCAGTGTGAGGTCGGGCGTTGTCATGGTGGAAGTAGATTTCCGCATTCCTTCCACGAGTACGGTCGACGTGATCTTTCAATTTCCGCAGCTGGGTCACGTATGTGGAAGCGTCGTCTGTCCCTTCTCCAGCAGCTCCCAGTACTCCATGCCTCTTCTGGACCACCAACAGGACAGGAGAACCTTTTTGGGGTGAAGGTCGGCCTTTGGGGTGGCTTCTGGCTGTTCTCCTTTGTCGACCCACTGCCGCTTCCTCACAGGGTTATCGTAGAGGACCCACTTCTCATCTCCAGTGATCATCGAGTTGAGAAAGTGAAGCTTCTTTTGTGAATCGTGAAGCAAAACCAGGCAGTGGCGCAGGTACATTCTGTCACAGTGGTAATTGTGCGACATTGTGGCCTGCAAATGCAAGGTGGGTGAGTGATAGCTAGTGTGATAAAAGAGTATAATGCACACGTCACGCACACGTGATGAATAATACCAACATCCATGCAAACGAAATACGGAAGGATCAAACACGGGGGTTGAAAACATATGCATCAACCTAATATAATAATTTAAAGCTATTCTACTGCTTGTCCTGACTCGAGCATGGATTCCCTCCCCTTCTCGTTGCAGTCTTATATCCTGGAGATGGAGAGGACGCGGCTTGCGTATTTCATTTAAACTTGACGGCGGCTGCGCTTTTGGTGAGATATTGTTTTGGGGGCAGATGTAATCATGGCTTTTCCAGCTTCAAACAGGCCATTGTTTCAAATGGGAATGGGTCACGAACAAAGCGCATCTTGCTCCATGTACGGGTCACGCCCTTCCCAACTCTTGGATAAAATGAGTAAAATCTTCGCCGTTGATCAAGTCATTTGTTTGATGCCGCACGCATTCTACTTCTATTCACAATCACAGTGACTTACTGAAGGCGATGTGTGCTATAGAATGACTTGTGGGGACCAGCCGATACACTAATCTGTATCCTTATCCTCCCAGACGGATCTAGTACCAATACACTCTCCCCGGAGGACTGAAGGCTTGCTTGGCCTGCGCAAGCGCTTTTTCGGAATTCATGCTCGGACCTGGCAAGCGTGCAACGTGAAAGCGGCAGCTCCGTCCTTCTCTGATGTATAGAGTCTGTACACTCTAGGATCAAACCGAATGAATAGCGTTACTACTCTGCATGAAGGCGTGTGCACAGATTATAATGTTAAAAAAGTATCTGCAAACCTTCATTTGTTGTTATTCAATCAAGATGTAGTGAATTAAAAATACAAAAAATGATAGAGCTCATAACAACTGATAAATTGTACTCCTTTGTTCTTGAAATAGTAGAAGCTGTGTTATTTACGGCAACTGTATTTCTACGTTTTTGTGAATCCTCCATCGACTGGGAGTGACGCTCCAGTAGTCATTGCAGATGCATCACTCAATAGAAACAGCACGGCTCTCACAACGTCTCCAACTTCTGCAAATGCGCGGCACAGTAAGTTTTAAAAAAGCTAATGCTTGGTGCAGTAGGGTTTAGCAGCAGAAAAAACATGAAAAATCCCGAGGCGCCAATGTAGCTGGAAGTGGAACCCACCCCTCTGTGTCCCTTCCCGTAATTGAGGTTGAAGTTTTTTGTTAGTGGAGTCCATCTTCTCTGGGAGTATCTCCTTGCGACTCTAGTTTGACAACCTACGCTTCTAGGCTAATCTCCTAGTTCCTACTTGGTTAGGTGGAGGGACAAAGGGCTATGACAGAAAGTTCTTCCCGGATTACATTGGCGCCAATCCTGCTACGCTTTGGTATATAGTACGCATAAAACAGGAAAATCACGGAAAGTCAACCACCACCCCACTACTCATAGAAAGAACCAGAAAGTAAATACGACCCCCCCCCTCCCAACAATGAGCAAGTACGACCCCCTTCCTTTCAGCACATCCGTGAAGCGAAAAAATCAACTATCAAAATAAATTTTTCCCAGCTCAAGTACGACCCTCTTCTCCCCGGCGACCCAAATAGAATCGCCGGTCTACTTTGGGCCACAACACCTGGCGATATTGGGCGCATGACTTAAGTGGTCTGGCGCAAAACTGCTGTGCTAACAACGAGTCAACCAGTTAGCTAGGCTAGCTGACTAGCTAACTGTGTGCGATGCCTCGCTTTCGATCTTTGATTTAGGCCCGAACTTCACATGAAAAGAAGGACTGCAGATTGATGTCAAATTCAGTTCCTTCGAACTGTTTCCCACTTTTTCAATGACATAGACTAGTGAATGAATGCATATGAATTTCAAAGGAATCATATCCGTCAGAACCGCCAGTTTCGGTGATAAGATACTGTGGTATTGCATACACCAAGTTATTCACCCATCAGTCGTCCAAACTAGTTTGGACACAATGATGGCAATGACAACTGTCCGTAAAGGTAAGGCAGCTTCTGCCTTACCTATACGGACAGTTGACACTGCCATGTGTGAGGTGAATGGGTCCGCAGTGGCAATAACTTGCCAGTTTCTCCTGTCGCAAATGCTTGAGAAAGGGTTGGAGGGTAGTGATACCTGGATGTCGACACCACTCTCCGCTCGCGCTATCCTCAATGTGCAGCACCTCCGTTGAAACAAAAACCTAGTAGCGAACCCACAGTCAGAGGCAGAGAACAATTGGAAGGGAGGGGGGCGCAGGCAAGTAAAACATTTGGCTACCAGTCGGCTCGCCGGCTGACGCCGGCGCGCCTCCTTCTGTGATACGGCCCGGCTTCGCCGGGCGGGCGCGGCTTCGCCGCGCTTACCTTCTTCCACATGTTTATATACCCAACTGATATGCGGCTTTTCTTTTATCTGAACAGATAACCAACGCTCCTTCACCAATAACATCATACCTGCTATTTTCAACACTATTACTGTGCATGACATTATGGTAAGGAGCATTGATGAAGTGCAGAGATGACAGAAAGCCGGGTATCTGTTGTGCATTGAAGCAGGTAGGGTAGACGAAGCCACGCCCGCCCGGCAAGGCCGGGCCGTATCACAGAGGAGGCGCGTCGGCGTCAGCCGGCGAGCCGACTGGTATCTAATGCATTTACGA